CCCTCCCCAACTATTTTTCCCCTTCTTCTCCCCCACGGTCCTCAGTTAAGTTCCTCCTAATCCTCCTATACGTGCAAACATATGATATTTGTCCTTCTCTGCCCGACTTATTTCGCTCAGCATAACACCCTCAAGGTCCATCCATGTTGCTACACAGGCCAGGTTTCATTCTTTCTCATTGCCGTGTAGTATTCCATGGTATAGATGAACCACATCTTCTTGATCCTTGCTCAGCACTACTTTGGATTTCTCATCTTTCAGATCTCTTTTAACCTGGGGAGTTTTTGCATATTTTTTCTTTCTGAAAAGAGTTGATGCCACTGAATTGTGGCAGATACAAGATGGATTGTCCTAAATAATGTTTTCAAACTAAAGTTGGCTTTAGTAGAAAAGTTGACACTTTCATGGTGTCATTTAACTTATTCCTTTAATTCTTAATTCCTATAATTCTTCTATATAACTATTTCCTTTATTCCTACAATTCCTGTAAATAGAAGTTAGCTCTACAAATTTCATTAAACTTGGGGTTAACTTTTTTTTTTACAAGAACACTTAATAGATGGTTACGATAAGCTTTGTACAACATCATATCGTAAGTCAAACAAATCTAATTGCCTCACTGATGTTAAGTTTGATCAACGGATTAATTTCACTTTCTTATCAACTAGAGCTGTGTAGTTGCCCTGAATTCTGTTCTTGTAAATTCATCACGGACCTATGAGTTGTTGTGTATTCAGTGTGTGCCAGTAATCTGTAGTTACAAACTACCTCATTTTTGTCAGTGGGAGCCCTTTTATGTTGGCTTCTATGTCCTTTGACATAAAATTAATAGCTTTTTAAAAATAAACTTAAGTTCAGCATAGTTTTACATTCATGGAGAAATTGCAAAGAGAGTCTAAAGAATTCTCATATACCTCATATCCATTTTTCCTTATTATTAATATGTTACGTTAGTGTGGTAAATTCGTCCCAATTAATGAGCCAAACCTGATACGTTGTTAACTATAGCTCATACTTTATTCAGATTTCCTTAGCTTTTTACCTAATGCTCTATTTCTGTTATAAGATCCCATCCAGAATACCATATTTCATTTAGTTGTCATGGGTCCTTAAATCCTCTTGGCGAAGAACTTACGGTAATTTCTCAGACTTGCCTTGACTATTAATAGTTCTAATATCTGAAGTCATCTTGTATACTTCCTGTCCCAGATCTGTAATCAGCCCTCCCTCAAAGTACTTTGTTTCCCGGAAGGGGGATCATATTTAAAGATCACAGACTGAGGACTGGGCACCCTCAGTGCTAGCACACTGTCATTGCCTTAGGCTTTTTCACTAAATACAGCTAGAAAATACATTTTTTTGGAGAAAAGTGAATTCATATGGTTATTTCCAAAAAGCAGTTAACATTATAGGATTTTTACTTAAATTATGTTATTTTATACTTTCATCTCTTACACTGAAAATCTTGACTCTTACACCAAAGTCATAGTTACTTATTAGTAATCTTTTACAGTGTATAAAAATAACTTCAGAATAATAAATACCAATAACTTCACTGATAATTAGACTACTAAATACAGCTTAAGGTTTCCCAAGAGATGTTTCATCCTTTGAAAATCTATAATCAAAATATTTTATTCTAAATTCATTTGAAATAATGCTTCTCTCTCTGTAATCTGATGTAGTTAGGTACATTTATTTCCTTTTGCTCCCTATTTTCATGGATTGCTGGCTTTATATATAAGTTCATTTTTGATTATGCAAAACATTTATTTTTCCAAAGCCATTTGCAAAAATGTACATTTTTCAAGTACATTTTAAATGTTTATAGTTAAAATATATTTAAATACATAGAATGCAGGATATTTTCTATATTTATTAATAGATAAAATAAAGGATGTTATTCAGAAGAGTCTCACGCTCCTTCCTGCTTCCTCTACTCTATTCCTTTCTCCCTCCCCAAATCATTTTAATTTAATTTTATTATTCTAGGTGATCCTTTTAGCCAATATAAACAAGGTACATTTGTGTGCGTATTTGTGTGTGTGTGTATAACATACATGTGTATATTGCAGGATAATATATTGCAAGATAATATAAATATATATTGTAGGATAATATAAATAAGTCTATGGTAATGAGAAGATTGAAGAACTTTAGGGGCCCCTTGGGGGCTCAGTCTGTTGACTGCCCAACTTCGGTCCAGGCCATGATCTCAGGGTTCATGAATTTGAGCCCCACCTTGGATTCACTATTTTCAGTCCAGAGCCCACGTCCGATCCTCTGTCCCCTTCTCTCTCTGCCCCTCCCCTATTCATTCTCTCTCTCTCTCTCAAAATTAAATATTTTAAAAAATGAAGACTTTTAGTGTACAATAAAAGAGGTAAAAGTGCAAAATAAAATAATATTTTTCATTAACTTTTTAATGAAATAAATTCTGTAATATTAAATTTGCATTAGAAATATCATTGTGGAGGTGCCTGGGGGGCTGAGTCAGTTAAGTGTCTGACTCTTAGTTTCAGCTCAGGTGGTGAGCTCACAGCTCGTGGGATAAGCCCTGTGCTGGGCTCTGTCCCGACAGCATGCAGCTTGCTCGGGATTCTCTTTCTCTCCCTCTCTTTCTGCCCCTCCCCACTCGGGCCCTCCTCTCTCTTTCTCAAACATAATAAATAAACATTAAAAAAAAAAAGAAATAGCATTGTGAATTCAGGATTGTTTTCCTGTTTCAGAAAAATTTATTTCCTGGCTTTGTTCACTAAAAATATCTGAAGCAGTGAAAACTTACGTACTTTATATACGGTTCTATATCCTGCTTTTTTCACTGCACAGTATATGCAAGAGGTCACTGTATCTTAGCCTATGAATATATTATTAAGATGTAATTTACATGCTATAAACCGTAGCCAGCTTTTAGTATATAATTCAATGATTTTCAGTAAATTTACTGAGCTGTGGAACCATAGCCATCACCTAGTTTGGGATACTTCCATCAGCCCAATAAGATCCCTTTTACAGTTAACCCGTGTTGCTGTCTCCAACCCGAGGTAACTACGAATCCACTTTTTGCCTTTATTGATTTGCCTTTTACAGCTGCATAGCATTAAACTGTGCAGATGAACAATAATTTATTCAACCAGTCCCCTCTTGGTAGATTTTAGGACTGTTTCTCATATTTTGTTATTTCAAATAATGCCAGACTGAATAATATTATGCATTAATCAATCCATACTTTTACCTGTGTGTGTTGGGTTAGATTTCTAGAAGTGGAATTGCTGAGTCAAGGGCATATGTATATGTAATGATCTTAATTCCTTTCCTTACAAGTTGTTTCATTTTGGATTCCCACCAGAAATTTGTGAGAGTGTTTGTTTCCTCCCACCCTCGTTAAAGGAGAACTTACTCAACTCTGGATTTTGTCATTGTGCAATGGAGGAGTACATTTAGAATAATTTTAGTGCTTCACTTTTATATTGGGAATATTTGAGCCAATTATTTGTGTGTTTAGGAATGACTTTCGTATTTCTGAAATACTTGTTCATATCTTCTACTTGCTTGGTTATAAGACGGTTGGTCTTGTTTTCTGTTTTACGGAACTTTTTTATATGTAGACATCATTGTTATAAAAATTGTAAATATGTATTTCCTTTCTGTTATTTGTCTTTGACCTTTTTTGCCATGCAGAAGATTTTTAACATACCATATTATATATTTTAATTCTTTCTTGCATTGCTTACAAATTTTGAATCATAGTTCAGTTTTTTCCCACTTCCAGATTATAAAATGATTCATCCATGTTTTCTTCCTGAACTGTAATACCATGACAATACCTGACTTTAGTACACCTTAATTCATTTAGTGAGAAGTTTTCACACCAAGGAATACATATTTCATATTAAGAAAAAATTCATCCATTTCTATTTTATTTTGAGGAATGAGTTTTCAATGTTGTCTTTTCAGTATCCATAGAGATGATTACGTTGAGCATCTTTGCATTTATTTCTTCAATGAACTCCACTTCAATATTATGCTGTTTTTTTAATGTGCTAATGGATATCATTTGCTACTATTTTAAGATTTTTTAAATCAATAATAAGTGTAATTTTAAAATAAGTGTGATGGGTTCATTGATTTACTCTTTGTGCAATCATCAGAGTTTGATATGAATGTCATATTTACATAACAAAAAAATTGGAGGGGTGCCTGGGTGGCTGTTAGTTTCTCCTCAAGTCATGACCTCAAGGTTCGTGAGCTCAAACCCTGCACCGAGCCCAGCACTGACAGTGCGGAGGCTGCTTGGGAGTCTCTCTTCCCCTCTGTCTCTGCCCTCCCCTACTCATGCTCTGTCTCTCTCTCTCTCAAAAGTAAACAAACATTTTTAAAAAAGATTTAGAAAAATCAGCTAAAAAAAAAAAAAGTACAGGACCAAGCAGGGCAAGATTTAAGGGAGGAGCCCCCCTGAGTACGGCAAGCCCCCCAAAGCTCTCAGAAGGCGTTGGTATAATTGGAAGTCATCTTACATGGCTGGAAGTCGTCTAGTCTCATCTCCAGTCCAACACTCTCTAAGTGGGATGCGCTCACCATCCGGGGAAAAGAGCACATAAAAAGAACCACCAGAAAGGTGGTATTAAATGCCGAAATTTGGCACAAGTGTGATTTCATTAATTAGGGATTTCTTACTGAAGTTCCTTTAAGATGCCCAAAGCAAACAGTCTATGATCCAGTTTGACGCCGCCCCTCGGACAGTCGAACTCGCTAGCTTGCCAAGTTCTAAACCCTAATTATTCTTGGGAATAGAAAATGCGGGGAGGATAAAATTCTACCCAAGTTGTCCCTATGCCACTGAGAAGCTTATCAACGAAGAGGTCTTTTCCACAGAAAATCCTGCGGAGGAGGTTTTGGGCAACTAATGAAGAGTTATAAGCACGTTGTCATGTTTTATGACGTCTCGGGCGTCAGTCCTGTGACATCATACTCAGTACTGTCCCAGTACCTTGGGTATTCCGCAAGTGCTACAGTAGATTATCAGCTTCAGACAATGTGAACGGGCAACGCAGCTTGTGAGGTAGGTGATCTGGGGCATAATAACCTCAAGTACCTAATCGGGATAACGTGGAGACGTGAGGATTTCACCTGCATACGGTATTTACCATGGTTTCCGATGCATTGTAAGAGTTCTGGAAACTTTTGCCAGTACTTTTTTTTTTTTTAATGTTTTTTATTTTATTTCTAGGAGAGAGAGAGACAGACAGCGTGAGCAGGGGAGGGTCAGAGAGAGAGGGAGACACAGACTGAAACAGGCTCCAGGCTCTGAGCTGGCAGTCAGCGCAGAGCCCGACGCGGGGCTCGAACCCACGCACCGCGAGATCATGACCTGAGCGAAAGTCGGACGCTTAACCGGCTAAGCCACCCAGGCGCCCCGATTTTGCCAGTACTTCTAACACTATACATTCCCACTGGTATTGGGCCAAGAGAAGCTAATTAATATAGATATATTACTATCTAATATTAACATAGATAAATCCGTGAAGCTAAGTATACTTCCTTGCGGAGGTGGGCTATTTCTCAAAAGAAAAAAAGATATAATTAATTTCGCTCCCTGGAATGTTGTGACAGTTTACTAATTAATATTGTGAAGAGCTTTGGAAACATCAAGTGAAATAAAAATGCTAAATATTGTATAACAGCTTTCTTTGAATACCATCTTCAATACTCAATAATGTAACCTAACTTAATTAAACTATGCAGAGTTAAATAATAAAGAGCAGAGGAAGAAATAAATCAAGAGGCATAGTCCAGGGAGAAGGGTATGTTTCCTGATGAGTTTTGAAAAGAGAGGGTGCATCAATGAGGCAGAGAGACGCTAGAAAGCTGTTTTACTGGAGACAAGATACAGACAAGGCCTCTCCTTAGACAATCTGCGGCATTCCCTGGGACCTCGTTATGACATTAAATGCATCAGCATCTCAAATAACAGTGAATGTTAATGGCGATCCTTGGTGAGACACAAAAGAGCCCTTAATGACCCTTTGGGAGAGTGAATGCAATCATTGCTGAGAATTGTCGAAGTCATATAAAAGTTGAAAACTGTGATGAATTGTGGCTAACACTGAAGATCCGCGCGCGCGCCTTCTACAGTTTGAGTCGCCAGAGTCGCCTCGCGTGTGAGGGAGGCCGTGTGGCCGGTCTGGCTGACGCAGTGTGAACGGAAGCGATGTGTGTCGTTTCCAGACTGACGCAGATCATTAGCAGCGTGCTCTCGCCATTCTGGGTCCCTTCCCACAGTGCCCCGGGAGCCTGTATGTTGCAGATAACAGCAGCGAGACAATGAAAGGAGCCAGAATCCAGCATCGGCACTTGCAAGCGCTGCCCACGAAAGAACAGCCACCTTGGACCGAGAACGGATCAGAAATAAAGTCGTACTTGCTCGGCCACCGGTATTGTACCGTCTGTTGCCATAGACCACTAGTCCCAGTAATACACATTTATTCCCGAGGTTGGATATTTTATGGAAAGACCTACTTCTCGGAACGGACCGAGAATGGAGTGAAAGGGCAGGGACGCAAACAGGGGACCCGCTTGGAAGAACGCGGGCCCCGCGGAGAAAGCGGCCGGCGCGCGGGGCCCGCAGGGCGCCGTCCACTCCTGCGCCCAACACGGGGGCCAGCTCCCGTGAGAGAAGCGAAATTGCTTTCAAATGAATGGGGTTTCTGAAGCCAGATGTCGAAAACGCCTTGAGTGGAAGCAGTTTTGGCCGAGCGTGGCCGGCGCCGGTCGGACGGTCGCGGACGGAGGGCTGGGGAGAGCGCAAGTGGAGGAAAAGAACGCCAACCGCGTTCTCAAGAAACTTGACCTCGAAGGGAAAGAACGGCAGAGAAGGCGGCTAGCGGCAGCCGCGAGAATGAGGACAGTCCCGGCGCGCCCGGGGGCTCCGTCGGCGGAGCGGCCGGCTTCGGCTCAGGCCGTGGTCTCGCGGTTCGTGGGTTCGAGCCCCGCGTCGGGCTCTGTGCTGACGGCCGGCTCGGAGCCTGGAGCCTGTTTCGGTCTGTGACTCCCTCTCTCTCTGACCCTCCCCTGCTCACGCCGTCCCTCTCTCTGTCTCCTAGAAATAAATTTAAAAAATATATATTAAAAAAAAAAAAAAAGAATGAGGACAGGCTAGTTGTGTTTTGTGTTCGGATGGAGTGACAGGTGGCCACTACTAGAAATAGCACAGCGGAGACGGGGTGGTGGGAGACGCGAGGCATTCCCGGAGAAAACGGACGTGCGGCAAGTCCCCGGGGAGGGACAGGCCCGCGTGGCGGGAAAGGTGCCCCTTTGTCTAAGAGCGAGAGGCAAGGCCAGGTGCTGCTGGTACTGGGGGGGGGGGGGGGGTGGGGGGGGGGGGGGGGGGGGGGGGGGGGGGGGTATGACAGGGAGAGACCGGGCACATCTGACTCCATAGCGCCTCCCCCCCCTTGCTGCTCTGACCTCCGCTGAGCCTGCGGCACCGGCGTGTGAAGCCCCGTGCACACCGCCCCTCCGGAAGCCGCGCTCCGCAGAGGAGATAAGGGGGCATGTACAGAAATGACCTTTGCGTGTCTAACATTTCTAGCAGCTTCATGACCGGAATGCTGTTCGCAAAGGTCAGCGGCCAAAGACAGAAAAGTCTCACAACCTTCCTCCGGTCCTCGCAGCTGGCTGCGGACTTCAGTCCCCTCTGGATTCCAACCCTCTCCTGCTTTCCCTTTTTCCTAATGTCAAAGAAGCTCAGATTTCAAGACGGGTGAAGATGATTTTTAGGGAAATAGTCCCTCATCTTCTGCGTGAGCTGGCTTTCTGAATAAAGTCGCTTTCTTTACCCCAACACCTTGCTTCATGACTTACTGGCCTAAGAGACCAGGCCAGACATGGTGGCGGGGGGAATGGCGGCCTGCTGTCACCACGGGGATTGCGAGGAATGGAGAGAGAGAGGGCGATGTTTTGATAATAATTAAAAAATGGGAATCTTGTCAAGACAATATATAATCAAATAAGAATGAAAATGTATAAAACCAAGAAAGGTGGAAAACGGCAAGGATATAGAGATAGAGGTGCAGGGATAGATTCCCTTGTAAGGATACAGGCGTGAAATATAGTAAAACAAAACAGAGGGAGGAAGATGGCTTTTTCATAGGTATCAGGAATACAGTTGTAGTGCAATTTGAATTAGGTGAGAAAGAAAACATTATTATCAAGGGAGCACAATGTGCCACAGTGCGAACTAGTCTTTTATTTTCTTCTGAGTTTATTTATTTGGGGGTGGGGGGGAAGAGAGAGAGCAGAGGGATAGAATCCCAGGCAGGTTCTGTGTGGTCAGCATGGAGCCCGAGGCCCAAACCCACAAGCCAAGAGATCAGGACTTGAGCTGACGTCAAGAATTGGACACTTTCCAACCGAACCACACAGGCACCCCCAGAGTGGACTAGTTTCACAAATATCTCCTCATTTATTCCACATCATAATTGCATGAGGTATCATTTCCTTTCTTTAAAATTTTAACGAGTAAACTGGAGTTCAATTCACAGTTACTAAGTAACAGAGCTAGGGTTCAAACTCATGTCACTCGGTGCGGCTTAAAAACTCATGTTCTCGTTATATTTCAAAGCTGTGATTGCTTTAGGGAATAAAGGAATATCCATTTTGGTAATAAAGAAACCACCATCAATATATAATTTCCACCTCTTACGTCCTATGTGGTCAACTTTCTGAGAACAAGATCCATGTCTTTTTCGCCTTAGAATCAGGCATTGCACAGTGTTTCGGTGGGTCAAAGGTCCAGCAGTGAATGGGGTACTATTTCATTTCCTCTTGGCGACTTCAATATTCACGGCAAGGTAAGATGAAAATATTACAAAGGAAGACAAGTGAAAGAAAGAACATAATCGTCAAGGAAAACATAATGAGATAATCAAGAAATAACCAAGAAGGAAAAGCAACCGATGGTGTAGATTGCATATGATAATCGCCAGGGTTATCTGAGTGATTTGCATATGCTGATGATGGTGAAAGCTATGTCACTGTCAAGTGAACAGGGAAGGCACATTCCTGCTCTGGGCCACATTCTCATATTTTTAAGTGGGTGCACTCCAAAAGTCTAAACATCGTATTGTCGTCAATTAATCACTATCAAATACTTCAAGAAATGCTTTGTTTTTCTCAAAGCCTATATTGAATTTTAAAATACATCTCTCCATGTTCACACTACAAACAATGACTTTTGCTTTACTTGATTTTAACCCTTTTTCAGACTCCATTTGAGAAGCCCCCCAAGCCCTTCTTTTACCAACCACATTTTAACATATACAATTTTAACAACATAGAGTTAAGAGTTTGGAAGCAAAATAATGCATATTCTAACAAAAGTTCACAGTTTTAGGTATCAAAGGAAATCATGATATGCATAATGCACAATAAGCAACATTTGCAAACTACCCGTATGGAGCGTGGGTACATCTGGTATAATATTTAATTTGAATACTATCTTTGTGTTATGCACTCAGCATGTCAAATAGCACCACTTATTTCAGTCATTTAAATTAACAAAGCATTTAGATGCTTCATTCCAAGTTTATGGTCACAAAGCCCAAAAACAGGAATCACAGGAAAAAGGAATGGTGGGAGCTAAAGCTAAGACACTGAATTATATTCTTTTACTTAAAACTGACTTTGAGGGGCGCCTGGGGGGCTCAGTCGGTTGAGCGTCCGACTTCGGCTCAGGTCATGATCTCGCGGTTCGTGGGTTCGAGCCCCGCGTCGGGCTCTGTGCTGACAGCTCAGAGCCTGGAGCCTGCTTCGGATTCTGTGTCTCCGTCTCTCTCTGACCCTCCCCTACTCACACTGTCTCTCTCAGAAATAAATAAAAAACACTAAAAATTTTTTAAAAAGCTGACTTTGGTAAATGACACTTGTATTTTCACAAGACTCCAGCCAAAACCCAAAGAAATTAATGACTTTAAGTCCAACTACCCAGAAGTTATTCTTCTTAAACATAAGTGAGCATACACTTGGACATCTCTGTATGCATATACTTGTAAATAATAAATAGTAAACAAAATAGGCACTGTTCTATGCATACTTCAAAATTATTCAACTTTATTTGCACTTAACAGCAAAACAGAAGGGAAACGTAAAACATTCTAATTTCAGATAAATTCTTGCCCCTAAAATTAATCAGTCACAGAAAACTGGGGTGGTTGAACTTATTGTGGCTATTTTCAAACTATATTTTGCTTTTAAATAGTCTTGATCGATAATACTGAGAGCTGAGGATATTGCAACGTGAACACTTCTCCTATCTCTCATTTCATTTATTGTTCATTAAATATTTTCTTTAGGCCATCAAGGTTTACGTTGTGTCCTAATTCTAATAATCTCCATAGATATTTTGTCTTAATTTTAATTGGAATAAAATGCTCACCTCCATCCTTTTATCAAGCGCTCTGACTTCCTGAGCTCTTTAATTAACTGCATGGCTGGCTGAATTTCAGCAGCAAGTGGTTCTTCCAGGATGGACTCAACAGTGTTGAGTTTGCTCCTGTTTGTTAATAGTTGCCAACTGGCCTGCAGACTTATTGGACACCTTTGATGGAGGTAACATTCTTGGGCCATACCTTGCCTCAGAATTAGCCTCTACTCTGTTGTCTTCAGGCATTGAGTATCGCTATGAAGAAATGGGAAGCCAGCCCAATCTTCCCCCTGATAGATGCCAGATAGGAAAACACTACAGTCATTATATAGATTAAGACATTGAGGATCCGGGGGAAAAAACAGGCTTATTAATTTTATAAGTCATACAATTTAATTAAGGAAAAAACTCCAGGTCCCAAGACTTCCTAAAGTTTATGATAGAAAGTCAAAGAAATGCTTAGGTCAGCTAACTATGCACCTTGGTTTTTTTCTCTCCATTGACATCAGGCTTGAATGTGTTTTGGAACATGGCGGTTCCCTACATATTCCCTGGGGCTGTGGAATGTGAAGGGGGAAGTGGAGCCGGCTGCCTTCCTGTACGTAAAAGCTATAGAATGTGGCTGCAAGCATTTTTGTCTCTTTAAGACATAAAATAAAGTGTGTAATTATTCACAGTCACAAATTAAAGTAAAATCATAATAAAAAAATAAGATGAAACCTGAATACGATGAATATAAAATATCAAATATGTGTTTACAGATGGGTTGAAAACAAATAAAGGTGAGAATCAGTGAGAGAGAGACCGCTGAGATATATGAAGGCATTCACCAGCCACTCTTAAAAGCCTTAAATCATTACAAGGATGTGAAGTGTTGAAATTATGTTATGCATTTGAGCAAATGGAAAATCCATAAAATCCATTTTTGTATTATAAAATGAGATTTTAAGAAGTATCTGTTTGTCTATCTAATGGTCCATTTTGCAATAAGTGCCTTTGTAACCTCCAAATAAATTTACAAGCCTTGCAGGCTGTGATTATTTTCCATCTCTTTCCTGAAGTAAACGGTGTCTATGCAATTATAAGGGCGATGGAGTGTATACAGAGTCACTAAGAAGGGGAGATTGTGATAAAGGAGGGTGTCTCTCGTGCACGTAAAGAAAAAGCTACAATTTGCTATTTTCAATCACTAGTAGAACATTTCTTTTTATGATCTCTAGTATAATGGTTGCGTTACTGAAATTATACTGAATTAACTAACAAGATACTCTGTACTGTTTGTGTCATGTATATAAATTCATGCCACTAGGTGGCAGTCGCACCATCTAGGGTAGCATTGACCTCATAAAGGAGCTTCATCTTTTTTAAAAAATTTTATTTATATATGTATTTTTTGAGAGAGAAAGAGATAGTGCAAGTGGGGGAGGGGCAGAGAGAGAGAGAGAGAGAGAGAGAGAGAGAATCCCAAGCAGGCTCTGCCCTGTCAGTCAGTGTAGAGCCCAATACCAGGCTCGAATTCGTGACCTGTGAGATCATGACCTGAACCGAAATCCAGTTGGAAGCTTAACTGACTGAGCCACCCAGGCGCCCATAAAACAGCTTCATCTTAACTGTGCGATACCTTCTCTCCTCTACAGCCTGGAGCTTCCCAGCAGTTAACACATGTCTCACTTGGAAATTTGTTTGTTGTTACTAAAATACAACTACATTAATAAAACAAGATTAATTAGATACCTGCTTCCAAAAACAGAAATCTTAGAATCAAGATTTAAAGAAAGTTCGGTACACGTCGGCTGGATATTTGCTGCCTTGCTCTCTGCATCCTACTGCACGAACTAGATCAAGTTCATACAAGACGGATGCATTGCTGGAGTGTTTAAATTGGTTTTGTCACCACTTACCTTAAGTCAGGTTACAAAACGACCGTGGCATGCTTCGCAGAGCCAGGAGCTTTCCTGATTCTGCTACTTCAGGTGAGTTTTAAACTGGCTGCTTACTGTCCTCAAGATGAAGATCACATTTCGTCCTGCTAATGAGCTTTGAAGCACAATTTCTCCTCGCAGGACTGTTACTCTTCAAAAATAGGCTGAAGAAATTCTTCCTGGAGCCCTCTCCATTTTCTCTTACATCTCACTCCTACCCATGGCTCAAAACTGTCACCTCTGTTATGAGTCACCCTCACTACTAATCAATGCTTTCTTGGATACCATGTCACCAGTAAGCCTCTCTGATACATTTCCTCTTCTGAAACTTACCATGTGAGAGGTTCTTTTTTCTGAACATTCATTTAAGATATTCTATTAAGTAAGCCAGCAGTTTTCAGATCTCTGTCACTCCTTAAAGTTTGGTTCTCCTGTCGGTCTTACTTCTCAATGTAGTTTGAGGTTGATGAAAGAGACTGATGTTAAAGCTTCTGGAGATCACAATCATGTCTTCATACCCTAACCTGCATCCGGTTCTACCGAAGATGCCTATATTCATCATATGTTCTCTTAACTGTAGGCTGAGATTGTTTTCAACGTGTCTACTTGTGTATCATAGTATCTTTCTTAAATTAACAAAGAAGCCCATGCATTTAAAAGAAAACTAGCTGTAACATCAGCCTGGGTAGCTAGAAAATATAAGGAGTTTGAAAGTACCAAAAACCCCACAAAGTGAAGAGCCGTTCTGACCTTAAGTAGTATGCAAATTGCTTTCTTTTAAATGGTAGCATGATCAACACAAATGATATTTCTGGGTCTTGGCACATCAAACTACCCACAGATGAAAGATGACTTAATTGCTTTGACCACAGTCCGAGTCAGAAGAGCTCAGTTGGCAAATATAAAAATAGCTTGGTGCTATTTGCATTTGCATTTGAGTAAGGAGTGATTTCATTTTAATGTTTAAAGTCTAAGTAACAAAGCAAACCACAGGTATGGAAACACACCTCCCCAAGCAGTGGAGACAATTCCTAACCGGAGAGCGTAAGGAGCACAGAGGACACATTGATCTTGTCAGCCGCACCCGTGTGCATAGGAAATACTACCGTCAGCACAGTGCCTTTAAATTCAGATCACAATATATTGGGAGTTTATGTCTTCAGAGCTTAAGCAGTTAAGCATTCGTAGAGATTTGTTGCCTGTCGCATCACCTTTAAATAACCTCCTAAAAATCGTTTCATAATTAATTATTATTCTGAATGTCTAATATCACTGTTAATAGCTTACATTGCTCTTCATAATTTCACCTAACAAAGTATTTCCAATAAACAGTCATAGGGAGTGAGGCTTGCTGTATTTTAGACTTTACTATGTAGCAGCCCAAATAAAGTAAAAATATATAGAAGAGAAAAAATATGACACAAAGAATAGGAAATTTCTCCAGGCCTTGTATTAAATGTGATTCCAAAGCAAGTCATGGTAAAATGGGGGCTACGGACTCTTCATTTCTTCTACCGGGTTATCTTTGAGATGACGTTATTTTCATACCTTCTAACTTTGTGATATAAACAGCAAACTTCATTCAGAAAAAAAAAATCTGCCATCACTGATTACCATGGCCAGGCTCACAGACATTTAAATCAAAAGTCACCTGAGTTGGATAAGGTTTAAGTTTTTTCAATAAATTATTTTTTATAATGACTATAAAAGTTATATAGTACACAGAGGCTAGCCGGCACTAGATACTTTACTGTACCTGAATTGCAAGGAATACTCTCTGAGACATAAAGCTGACAATCAGACATCTGAGTAGGGCTGGAAATGCAGTCCCCGAAAGATGAGAATGTGAATTTTAGTAACCTGGAAGGCAAAGACCATTGTTCTTTCACTCTTGAAGCAGTAGACAGAATGAGCAAATGATGACACAAACACGTGTGGAGAGATCAGAAGAGTAAACCTGTATCCCAGAATCACTTAGAACTGAAAGTGAGAATTCTTGTTCCAGAAAAAAAATCTATATTTCCTCTGGTACTTAAAAACCAGTTCTGTGATCATGCTAAAATCATAAAATGGCTCAGTTTACAAAGTAAACTGGGGTTATTCTTTATTGAAATGCAATAAAGTCACTGATGTTGCAGCAATATCACTGTATGCTTTTAATGCCATAGACTTTCTTCAAAAATGTAATAACTAGTAAAGAAGGGCAGGTAACTGTGGGTAAGTGAAAATACATATTATTCACAGATATTATTATTTCAAAGTGCATCCTTGATCCAAACAGCATGAAAGAAAGTGGTTTTGGGTAATGAAATTTGGGGGGCAAAAATATGGAGAGCATGTGGTAAAAATTAAGAAAACTATTGTTAATATATTTTTTAAAAAGGAGAAGAAATATTGATGCAAAGAACCTAGAGAAAATATTAGCACTTTATTTAATCTTTTATTCTTAAGATTTTTTAAATTGTAAAATAGCTATACAGATAAGAGAAATATCTGTCACCCATAATCCTTATCAAAATATTTAAAGTAACTTATAAGAAACTTCACCTTTGGCTCTCTAACTTCATACACTCAGTGTATTCATTAATTGTCAGTGAACTTCATACAGATTTTTTCCTGCATGCTACCCATATACCTCTTTTGATACCAAAAACGACTATATTATAGTCTACATCTTTATTTTTGAACATAATTAATTATCAGAAATGTCACTCGAGGTCAGTTCACTTACTTTGTATACTAGCATACTATTTTATGGAATGGAGGGGTCATCATTTTCGTAATCATCTGCTTACCAAAAGAACGTTTAGGTTATTTCAAATTTGCTGCCCTTTTTAGAAAATCTCTATACATATGTGTATAGTGCTCACTCCATTATTTCTGTAGGACAGATTCTTAGGTGTCAGACTCCAAATCACCTTCCCCAAAAGTTTGTACTGGTTTTGACTACAACTGTACTCCTCACAATTCTGCACATTGTTAATTCTTAAAATTTTTGGCCTGTTTTAAAAATTGTTTTAATTTACATTTTCTTTTTATTAGTGATTCTGAACATTTTTACAACATGCTTTGGACATTTATATTTCTTCTAATTGCCAGATTGAATTACTTTCCTATTTTTCCATTAGATAGCTTCTTCTTATTTTGTAGAAGCTCTTTGTATATTGGATGTATCTATTTTCTCTTCCTAGTCTGCCATGTGTCTCTTAGCTTTGTTTATGGCCTCTTTCTTTGCAGAATAGGAATTTTAACTTTTTAATGAGTAATTAAATGTGTCGAACTTTTCCTGTGTGAGTCTTTGGATTTTTGCCTTGCCTAGGAAATCCTTTCTACTCTAAGCCTATAAACACCATCCACCTTTATGAATGCAGTACGTCATCAATGCATTACTTTAAGTGTATTTCTCGATCTGCACGTAATTGGTTTTACTCTAATTCTAATAAAATAATAAAACAAACTTTAAGTAGGAATTTTCCTCAGATACTTACACAATGTTGAAACATGGGGCCATAAATAGCGGAGGTTTAAAAAGGAAAAATAATTCAGACAAACTTGCTTTCTTTTCTTGATAAAAATAACTAAATTAGTGGGAAAAGGAAGGCAAGGTGTGTAATAAATTTAGAGCTTCGACATACATGGTCTCCATAAATCTTTCATAAAAAATTAATTCAAATTGGCTTTGAGATGAACACTATCAACTGAACTGAAAACTGTCTGATGGACCACAAACAACAGAAATAATAATAGCGTTGATGCCTCCCGCCACAGGGAGGAAGAAACGAAGGCCACGCTAAGATCCGTGA